GCTCGATCGATCCTCCAGCCTGGCTCGATCGACCCTCGAGCCTCGCTCGATCGATCGTCGCCTGGCGGGGGCGCGAAGGCGATCGCGCCTCGCGCGAGCGCGAGCACCCAAGGGGTCGTTGCTCCAGCTGGGGGTGCGTGAGGCCGAGCTCCGCTGGGCCCCGCAGGAGCGCAGGCACATTGCGCTTGGAGTATGGCGCTGGGCACCGCCCGCGAGGGCAAGGTCTCGTAAGCTGCGTTCCGCTGGACAATCGAGGGGTGCAGGAAAGTGGTGATGGTTGTCGTTGTTGTTGTTGTTGTTGGTGTTGTTGTTGCTGCTGTTGGTGGTGTTGTCGTTGTTGATGCTGCTGGTGTTGGTGTAAGTGCTGGTGTTGTTGCTGCTGCTGCTGTTGGTGGTGTTATTAGTGTTGTTCGAGTTGTTGGTGTACGTTTAGCAGCTCACGTGGGGGCGAGGTCTGGTTTGCATCTGCGTAAGACCGCACTTCGCTGCACCCTCCCATGGGTGTAGAGAGGTGGCGATTGCTCGAGATGTGGCAGCACCCACGGGGGTGAGGTCTACCAAGCGGAGTGAGGATATTGATCTAAGTCTGCGGAAGACCGCATTCCGTTGGACCCGGCAAGGGTGCAAGGACCCGGCGGCAGCTGCGCGCTTGACAGCATGCAGCGGGACAAGGTCTAGTTCACGCAGGACTCCACCCAGTTGCATCCCCCACTAGCACATGAAAATGACGAGTGTTGTGCGAAGCGAGTGTAATGGTTTGGATCTGCGTAGGACGGACGCCTCCCGCTGAACCACGCGGGGGTGCAGGAAGGAGGCGATTGCTGTACGCGCGGCAGCGCCAAGAGGACCAAAGGGAACATTTCGGACAGGCGTAAGACGCCACTCCGCTGGATCACCCAGGAGACCAGGGAAGTGAAGACAGTTGTAAGTTCGGCGCCACCCAGCAGGGCGAGAGTACTAGCTCAGATCTGCATCGGGTGCCACTTCATTGGACCCCCTCGAGGGGCGACAGTTGTGTGGTTGATGCGATGCGCAGGGCAGTGGTGTCAGTTGCAGATTTGGCACAGCCCTGGGAAAGGCGGACGGCACCAAGGAGACGCAAACAGGACAGCGCATACCCACCACAAGGCATGAAGGTACAAGGAATATCGAGAGACGGAGGGACGGGGAGGGAGAAAGGGAGAAAGAGAGATAGAGAGAGAGAGAGAGCAAACAATGAAAGATAGAGAGTGATGGAGAACGAGCGAACGAGCGAGGACTCGTGAAGGAAGGTGAGGAGAGGAGAGGAGGAGGAGGGGCAAAGGGGGTGAGCAATGCGCAAGGTGATCTGTTCGAAGAGAAAGCCAAATTTCATGTAGGATTCGGAAAGAGCATGGGCAGCATCGCACAGAGCCAAGTTGGAGCGGAGCAGGAGGGACGAGCAAACAGATGCAAAGGAGGAGGCGGAGGGAGCAAGAGGATGTGGAGGAGGGTCTGCTGAGAGCCTGGGTCCATCTGAGTCGACTCAGGGCCTGGTTGGACCTCGGGGTTGTCTTGGAGTATTGCTCTGCCTTGGAGGCCTCTTGGTTAGAACACGGGTCGTCTTGAGTTGTCTTGGGGCGAGGTCGGGCGGTCTTGGGCGGCTCCGAGGGCTCGGGAAGAGCTTCCAGGACCTCTTTTACGCGGCCTGGAGCGACACCATGGCCGTGTTGAGGCATTAAGGAGGCCATCTTGGGCGATGTTGAGAGGATGGTGCGCGGAATCACGCGATTGCAAAACAAGGAAACTTGTGATGCGCGTGCCCGGCGCCTGTTTGGGATCCACCAGGGCTCTCGTGCGGACATGCTGGGAGTCGTTTGTGGAATGGGCCGTCTCGGAAGTCTTGTAGCCATTTGGGAGTATCAATGCGTCTTGGGTTGCCTTTGAGACGTCTCGGGCCGATTCGGAGGCTCCCAGGACCCGTCCTGCAGCGGTCGTCGGGACATCGTGGGCGCGCAGATGGAGGGATTGCATCATCATCATCATCATCATCATCATCATCATCATCATCATCATCATCATCATCATCATCATCATCATCAGCATCAGCATCAGCATCAGCATCAGCATCAGCATCAGCATCAGCATCAGCATCATCATCATCATCATCATCGTCGTCGTCGTCGTCATCATCATCATCATCATCCGCCTCCCATGCGGTGCATTGGAGCAGGGATGCTGGCGTCGGAAAATCAGATGTTCAGTTCCCCTCTGGGATGCGCAGAAGCTCGAGCATCCCTGGGGGGAGCCCACTGGTGCTCTGTACCTGGCAGTTCGCCGAAGGGAGCTGCACGGGGCACGGGCCACGCTCAGCGCGACACCTGCGCTGGTCCGCGTCGGGATTCGGGAATGCGTGCCTTTCCCTTAGCAGCTTATCTGTAGGCGTTCCATCTGTATCTGTACATATATATAGATGACTCGCGAGAGGGGCCAGGGGCACCCTTGCCGGCCCCGACATCGGTGATGTGATGGTATCCAGCACGCTCTCCCGAACAGTCTCCCGTTTGGCCTCCCGTATGGTCGCTCGCAGGGTCTCCCATCTGCGCTCCCGTGCGAGCTCCAGTATGTTATCTCGTGCAGTCTCACGCCTCTCTGCTCCCGCGTGAACTCCCGTATGCTCTCCTGTATGGTCGCCCGAGTGGTCTCCCGTATGGCCTCCTCTGTGCGCAGCACAGCATCAAGTTCTCTCCCTCCTCCTCCTCCTCCTCCTCCTCCCTCCTCCCTCCTCCTCCTCCTCCTCCTCCTCCTCCTCCTCCTCCTCCTCCTCCTCTTCCTCCTCCTTTTCTCCTCCTCCTCCTCCTCCTCCTCCTCCTCCTCCTCCTCCTCCTCCTCTCACGTCTGTAGTTTAGGGCGTTCTGCCACAGAGGTGTGACATGTGTTCGTTGCCATTCGAGTTTTTTGTCCGGTAAGCGTGACATGCCCATCGAATGGCCTTCGGCCCACCCCGCCACCGTGCATGAGTTTTGGGCACCAAGCCTATTTTGTGTCTGTTGGGATCTCGTGGGAGGCATCTCGGGGCCTCTTCGATGCAGTTTTGAGGCCTCTTGGAGCCTCTTGGGGGCCTCTTGTGGCCTCTTGGGGGCCTCTTGGAGGCTCTTGGGGCCTCTTGGACGCCCCTTGGGGCCTCCTGGGGTCCTACTGGGACGGACGGCTCGGATGTTCGGTTCGCGGTCCTTCTCTTGGGCCCGTTTGGGGGCCGCCTGTGGCCCTCTTGGGCTGTCTTGGGCGCCTCTTCGGCCGTCTTGGGGCGCTCTTAGGCCGTCTTGGGGGCCCCATGGGGACCTCTTCGACTTTTTTGTGTTGGTCTTGGGGGCCTCTTGGGCCGCCTTGAAGCGTCGGAAAGCCGAAAAGGCGACAACGCCCAAATCTTCCAAACGAATCCAGGAAATACATGATGTTGGCCTCTCGGGGCCCTCTTGGAAGGGCTCTTGGGGCGTCTTGGAAGCTTATTGGGCCATCTTGAGGCCATCTTGGGCGCCTTGGATCGATCTTCGACGGTGTTCAAGACCTCACTGTGTGAGGCGGATTAAAATCACGATTTAAACCGCCACAGTGCCTCGCTGGCGTCAGTGTCGCTGACGCGAGCGAGCTGGCCCCACAGCCTGCCCAGGTGGACTTGGTTGGGGCTATACAGTTCCAGCTTGCTGGTCATACAGGCGGCCCGGATTAGTAGGTCGACCCTGCCAGATCAAGGGTACCCTCGTGTCCTGTGTCTTGCGACCCATGCCTCCTGCACTTCTGTGGCAGCGTGGCCCCCGGAAGGGTTTTGTGTCCTCGCGTGTCCTGTCCAATCAAGGCCGACTGTAGTCATGCCGATGCCAAAAACAGAACCGTCTTGGGGGCCTCGTGGAGCCCTCGTTGGCCCATCCTGCGGGGGCCTCCTGGGCCCCGAGAGGCAGTGCAGCAGGATGCGCCGGGAGCCCCTGGGCGCACGCCGGGGGCCCAAGAAGGCCAGGCTCTGCGTCGGGGGCCCCCAGACGGGGTGGTGACCACACCGTGCGGTGAACCGGTGGGGATGCCGGGTCACCGCACGGTTTTGGGGCTCGGGTCGCTTGTGTTGTCACTGTGCACGGCCTTGAAGAAGTTTTCACATATCCACTTGGTCTTGGATTTGCTGGGAAAGGGGCGCAATGAAGCTGATACGCCGTGGTCTGGATGAGAATCGAGCCTCTAGGGGCCAGTCTTTCTTACATATCCGCTGCGCCTTCGGTGTCTGAGGTTCTCCGAGGACGTCTCGGGCGACAGGGGCCTCCGGGGTCCCGAGGCCGTGCGGGTGACGGGCCGTGCGGTGAGGCCGCTTGGGGGTTCCGAAGTCACTGCACGTTCTGTCACCGCACCGTGTCGGGACTCCAAAATTTGGGCTCTGGTCATGCGGTTCCAAAAGTCAGCCACGCGCAGAGGGGGGTGGGGGGAGGGGGGGGGCTTCTTAGAAGCACCCCTGCTTCTTAGAAGGCGCGGGCCTTATCTATATGTAAGGCCGGCGCCTTCTAAGAAGCAGCCTGCTTCTAAGAAGCCCCCCCCCTCCCCCCACCCCCTTGTGCGCGCCGCCAAAACAGGGACCCCGGGGGAAGGGATTTCTGAGACCGGCGACGCCGATTTCTCAAGTCCGCTCGGCGGCGCCCACAGGGTCGCCGCACGCCGCCGTCATTCGCACTGCTCGAGGTCTGTCTGAGATGCAACGCCGCGGTCTCAGAAGTCCCTTTCGCTGGCGTCCCTTCAGGGAACGTATCATCTGGGCCCCTGAAAGACTCCTCGGGAGCGCTTCAGGGATTAGGCAAGAGACTTGAGGACACGTCCACTTCGTGCCCAGCGGCACGGTGGCGGATTTAGCTGATTGGAGCTTCGAGCATCGCAGCCCGCAGCTGCCTGACTCATGCCCCGAACCAGACAGCAGACATGAGTTTTCGCTGCTGCCCCCAGCCCCAGCACCATCTTGCAGGATGGCCTTCTGCCATGTGTCGTCTTTGGGTGCCAGCCTCCAGGGCGTGGTGGCAGAGACCGACGACGAGGGCAATTTGCTTGTCCAGTTCCAGGACCACAAGCGAAAGGACAGACACACATACTTTTACATACGAGAAGGAAGGATAATAACGAAGAGCAGGACGAGGACCGGTTGGCAATGGTGGTGCCGCATGTTGGCTGCAGTCTGCGCTCGTAGCACAGAGAAGGGCCGCATGCTCGCTCGATGTGTCAGCCCAGGGGTGATCAGGCCGTTCTTGCCGGACTCCCGCACGCACCGCAAATTGATTGATGGCAGCGTGTCCTCCTCTGCCTCATCCCAGCGGCGGCCTTTAGATATGTCGGGCCGGATGCATGGAAAACAAAGGCGAGGGGCAGACAGCCGCCGACGGACAGTAAAATCGGCATGGCTCAGATACAAGGGCGTGCAACAACATGACCAGGAAGCACCGGCCGGAATGGCAAAACGCGGCGCACAGCAGTGGATCTTCAAGAAGGACTTGAAGAAGTTGAAGGCGGCTGGGCAAGCAGTCGGTGGTAGGAGATAGCAGCACTTAGCAGGGATGAAAGGTTCGAGGCTTCCGGAGGCGTGAGGCAATCTGCAGCCAAGATGAATATCCACCGACCTGTGTTCTGAAAGATGCAGAGCAGCAGCACCGCCGCATCAAGGCAGAAGCCCGCCGCGGCCGTCGTTCTCACACGGCGCGCCCCTGCGCAGAGCACCACCCCGCGCCTCCGTTCGGCCCCGCGGCGGCTCGCCCCACCACTCTTCTGAGCACCGCACGGGATTTCTGCGCACGGCCCGCACGAAGGTACAGTCGGACCGAGGCAGAAGGTCGAGGTCGGTTCGGGGAGGGTACCCTCGTGTTCTTTCTGTTTGTTGAATGCTCTCGTGCACCATGGGGAGGGTGCCCTTGGACATTCTGCGTGCTTTGGCCAGCGGGGGGTCTCGTGTTTTTGAAGGATGCTCTTCTGTCCTAGGTTCGACCGTGCGTTCAGGGTCCCCCGAGTCAAGAGAAGCGGAAGCCGAAACAATGAGAGAGGGATGAGCAGGAGAAGCTTCTGAGGACTTCTCCTGATCATCCCCCTCCTCCTCACACCCCTGCTCCCGGTTCACCACCACCACCCCGCCACCTCCTCCTCCTCCTCCTCCTCCTCCTCCTCCTCCTCCTCCTCCTCCTCCTCCTCCTCCTCCTCCTCCTCCTCCCCCTCCTCCTCCTCCTCTCCTCCTCCTCCTCCCTCCTCCTCCTCCCTCCTCCTCCTCCTCCTCCTCCTCCTCCTCCTCCCTCCTCCCCTCCCTCCTCCTCCTCCTCCTCCTCCTCCTCCTCCTCCTCCTCCTCCTCCTCCTCCTCCTCCTCCTCCTCCTCCTCCTCCTCCTCCTCCTCCTCCTCCTCCTCCTCCTCCTCCTCCTCCTCCTCCTCCTCCTCCTCCTCCTCCTCCTCCTCCCTCCCCCTCCCCCCCCCCCCCTCCTCCTTCTCCTCCTCCTCCTCCTCCTCCTCATCCTCCTCCTCCTCCTCCTCCTCCCCTCCTCCTCCTCCTCCTCCTCCTCCTCTTCATCGGTCCTCCTCATGTGTCCTCCTCACCTGTCCTCCTCCTCCCCCTCCTCCCTCCTCCTCCCCCTCCTCGCCCTGTCCGTCTGTCCTGGGCCTGGCTGCAAGATCCCGGCGCGAGCGCCTTCCGTGTGGAGGCGCACGCGCGTGGCAGCCCACGGCCGGCGCCCCCGCGGGCCCCCGCGCGGCGGCGCGCCCCCGGCCCAGAGCGCCTGAGGAGCGCCTCGCCCTGCAGGGCCCCCGGAGAGGCCGCCTGGCCAGCCGGGGCTCGAGCGGAACGGTGCTTCGGCGAGTGCGTGGGCCATCCCCCGCCCCCGCCCCCGCCCCCGTCCTCGTCCTCGTCCTCGTCCTCCTCCTCCTCCTCCTCCTCCTCCTCCTCCTCCTCCTTCTCCTCCTCCTCCTCCTCCTGCTCCGGCGATTTCGTGGGCCAGCCTCGGCAGCCGGAGGCGAAGCGAGGACGAGGCGCAGGGTGTGGCTCGAGCGAGGCGGTGTGCGGGCGACGTCGTGGGCCGCGGTTTCGGGCCTGGCCTCGCCTCGCGGCTCGAGGCGGGGAGAAGGCAGAGCGAAGGGAGGCGGACCACGCATCGAAGACGAGGAACAGTGCTTGGCCCGAGCCCTGTTCGGCGACGGGCGAGGGGGGGAAGTGAGCAGGAGACGGCCTTCTCAGAAGGTGGCGGGACTTCTCAGAAGGCCCCGGGCCGTCTGAGAAGTCTTCTGTGTCTCCGGGGAGGGCTCTGACAACTTCTCGGGAGGCCCGGGGGCCTCCCGAGCCTTCCGAGAAGGCCTTCTCCTTCTCCCCTCCCCCCCCCCCCCCGGTCGCCCCGCCGACCTATGGCAGCCCTGGCCTGGCCCCACCGCACCACAGCAGTCGTCCATCTATGGGCGTCCCATAACTCCGAAAGATGGGAAGCCCACAGGTCGCCAGATTCCCCAGGGGTGTCTGGCGACCGATGGGTTTCCCAGAAGTCGCAGGCGTGCCACCCCTCTCGAGGCGCCCTCGAGGCGCCCCAGAGGCCTGGCCCCAGCCGCCACCACCCCTCGAGGCGCCCGCCCGACCGTCGGCCGGTGTCTCGTCCCGCCCGCCGGGCCGCGCCCGCGGGACAGGGCTTCGGGCCGCGGCATGCCTGAGCAGGGCAGATGATGTCAATCGGGGGCGGAAAAGAGGGGGGTGATGACTGGGGGGGGGATATTATGGCGGGGGTCATGATATTTCCCCAGATTTCATGGCGCTTCTTCTTATGTCCTTACATCCCTGGCCCCCCCGCTGGGCCGCGCACATGCCGCCGGTCATGATTTGCACCCCCGCCTCTTGGACAATCCCTTCTTGGCCGCTTCCGAGTCAAGGGTGGTCTTCCCTCCCCTTTTCCGTCTCTTCGTCCCTTTCTCTCTCGACCCCCTTCTTATTCGTGCTCCTCCGCAGCCTGCATCCCCTGGCGTCATACGAAGGCAGCCCTCGAGACGAGCTGTAGTCATGGAGTGGCCACGGCGTAGGCGTGGAAAGTGATCCTAACATCAGGGATATTGTATCTTGCAGGTTGAGTGTCGAAGACTCCTACGGCGAACCACCGCGACCCCTTGCCGGTTGAAAAGCTATGTGGCCAAATATTGGGCCGAAGTCTTGTCGAGTGGACTACGTGTTCCCCCAGCCGTTGTGGAAACCCTTCGAGGCACACCTGGGGGAGGATACGAGAGAGAAGGATCAGAGGGAGGATAAGGAGGAGGAGGAGGAGGAGGAGGAGAGAGGAAGAGGAACAAGAGGAGGCCATTTCAGGGCCTCCTGGAGGCTTTCTGGGGACCTCTTGGGCCTATCCTGGGGGCCTCTTGGGCCCGTCTTGGCGATCTCTCGGGCCGTCTTGAAGCCATGTAAGAGGCCTATTGGGCCGTCTTGGGCCGTCAGAAGCCCGAAAAAGAGGAAACACCAAAATCCGTCACATTTTTGATGAACTCAACAAGCTTCATGATAGTGATGCCGTCTTGGAGGCGTCTGGGCGCCATCTTGGGCGTCTTGGAGGTATCTTGTGCCGCCTTGGAAGTATCTTGGGCCGTCTTTGTGCTCCTCTCTTGGGCCGTTTTGAGGGGCCTCTTGGGCTGTCTTGGAGAACTCTTGGGCCGTCTTGGGGCAATACTGTGGACATCTGAGGCCGTCGGAGGGGCCCAGAAAGCAGCAAACGTCAAAATCCTTGCATAATCTTTGGACATCAGCAAGTTTGGCCTCTCGGGGCCCTCCTGGGGGTCCTCTTAGAGGCCTCTTGGACACTCTTGGAGGCCTCTTCTGGGCCTCTTGCTCCATCTTGGGCCGTCTTGGTGCCCATGTGGCATCCTTGGGGCGTCTTGGAGGCCATCTAGGGCGTTTTGGAAGCCTCTTAGGCCGTCTTTGGGCTTTATTGGGGGCGTCTTGGTGGCCGCTTGGGCCGTCTTGTGGCCACCTTGAGGATATCTTAGGGATATATGAGACCGTCGAAAGCCCGAAAACAAACTCAAAGACCCTTCTGAAAAAGAACATATGAAAATTAACAGTTTGAGTTTCTGTGGGCTCTCCTAGAGGTCCTCCTAGAGGTATCTTGGACCATCTTGAGCCATCTTGGCGCAAGACGAGGCCGTCTTGATACCATATTGGCCGTTTTGAACGGAGTATTGGGGCCGGCTTGCAGGCCATCTTGGAGGCCATTTTGGGCATCTGGGAGGCGAAGGAAGCCCCTTTCGTGTTTTTGATGTGTTTTCTGGGTGGCCGCCAGGTTGAGCCGGAGTCCACAAGGAATCTTTCGCAAAGGCCAAGACAGTTCAACATTTGGCTCGCCAACAACCCGTCTTGCAGGCAACAGAGAGCGGCGGATCTAGGCCTTCGGCCATCCCGCCACCGTGCCTGAGTTGGTGTGTCAAAAACTTCCTTCGGGCATCGTAAGATATCTCGGGATGCATGTCGGGAGCCTCTTGGCGGCCTCTTGGGAGCTTGTTGGACGCATCTTCGGGCCTGCAGGGAACTGTTGAGGGCCTTTGGGGGGCATTTTGGTTGCCTCTGGAGGGGGCCTCTTGCGAGCCTGCTGGCTTTCTAGGGAGTCCTCATGGGGCGGCGTGCTCGAAATTTGAATTCGTGTTCTCCCTTTTGGGTCGTCTTGGAGGCCTTTTGGGCAGTCTTGGGGGCATCGTGGGCCGTTTTGTAGCGATCTTGGGAGCCTCTCGGGCCGTCTTGGAGTGCGGGAAGCCCGACAAAAGAGATAACGCTTAAACTGTCCAAAAACTTGCGGGGTATCAATGATTGTTGCCTCTTGGGGGTCCTCTTGGATCCCTCGTGAGGCGTCTCGGGGGCCTCGTAGGCCGTCTTGAGACTATCTTGGGTGCCTTGGAGCGCTCTTTGGCGGTCTCGGGGGCCCCCTGAAACATCTTTGGGGGCTCTTGGGGCCCTGTTGGCACTTCCTGGCGCCCTCCTGGCTTTTAGGAAAGGCACGCGACAAACCCCGAGAGCGCCCAAGAGCGCTGGAACCACGGGGCGGTGGGCCTTGAAGAAGGAACCCTTTTCGTTGGGAGGGGCTCCGTGTTCCTTGATTGTTTCACAGCTTGCCTCAGGTTTTCCCAAGGTTTTCGATGGGGAATCGAAGTTTAACTTATGGGAATGGAGGGGCCTCGTTCCTTATTTAGGGCTCCTTAGGTCAACGCCCCGACTGTACACCATTCACTTCTCAATTTTGAGAGATCGAGGAGATCTGATGACACTCGACTTCGTGCCTCGCGGCATGGTGGCGAAACGGGCCTGCGACGGTCGTGAAATATGTTCTTGTCCTGGAGTGCAGTTGAACATCAGATTTAGAAATTTCCCCCCGGAGAAGAAAATATTTAAAAACTAGTAATACTAATAATTAAAAATATACCGTACCGGAAAGCTGGCCCAGTTTCTGGAGCGTTCTCGCCCCTCCAGCGTCAAAACGAACACTTGGCCCAGGTTTGCCCTGAGAAGCTGCTGGGGAACTGGCCCAGGTCTCTTAAACTTCAATTTTATTGATGATATTGCGAAGGCCTTACGGCTGGTGCCGCCCACCTTGAACGACGACGGCGATGAGCGCTCTCGGGGGCCTCTTGGAAAGCTCTTGGGAGCCGCTTGGGAATCTTGTGGGGGCCTGATGTTCTTGATGCCATGTTTGGCTGTGGTGTGGGTGCCTTCGAGGTGTTTTTTTGTTCGGCGTCGAATCGGTACCGAAGGCGCCTGCAGACAGCGAGAATCTAGTGCCACGCCGTCGCGCGTGGCCTGCCGCCACGCGCGAGGGGTGCGAGGCAGGCAACTACGGTCCACGCGCCCAGTAGGGACGCGCGCCTGCATCTGGGGCCCTTAGGTGCCTCGATACGCCCGTTTTGAACCGCAATACGTCCCGTGTTCAAGACGTCCGTGTCAATACGTTGCGTGTTGGCTCCACGTATTGGACCACGTTTTGGCGAGTGTATCGCGTCGGACCTACGTTTTCAGCCTACGTGTTGAGCTCCGTATCAATACGAGACGTGTTGCGTGTTGCGGATCGGGGCAGCTAAGCTAGGGCCGTGTCGTCGTCGAGCGCTACACTCTGCAAAACGCAGAGGTGGCGGTCAGAGGTTACAAGAAGGTCTGGGGATGGTTTCGGGTATTTTTTAAAAAGAGGTCATTGGGAGGTCCTGGGCTTCTGGGAAGAAGGCTTCTCGGGACGATTGGGCAGATGATGTGGATGAGTTTGACGAGTGTCCTTGTTTGCCTCTGCCTCTGCCTCTGCGGCCCGTCCTTTGCCGTTTTCACTGGTCGCCCGTCGCTCAGGAATCCCAGCTTCGGCCTTCAAGGGTCTGACGGCCTTACCACCCGTCCTTGATATACGTATCCACTTTAAGTGTCTGCACGTGGGCTCAAGATCCAGGAATCCTGGCTCAGTCACGCACTCTACACTCTACGGTTCCACGTAGGCATGGGGAACTCACTTCTTGGGAGCTCGTCTGGCAGCTGCTTTGTGCAGCTACACCAGATTGTTTATTCGCCTGGCGACGTAATCGAGGGCGTCATACATCTCATGATTTCCGTGCCGTGCAACATCACGAGCGTCGAGTTGAAGATATCAGGCAAGGAATTAACGTACTGGTGCGAGCGGAAGCAGGAGACGATAGCAGAGGGTGCAGGCGAGGTTCGAAGAACTCGTTCGAGCGACAAGTATTACCATCATCACGGAAGGCGGTCGATCTGTAAGGTGCGGGTGCCCGTATACACAGCTAATGGTGCTTACCTGCCTCCGGGGCAGTACTCCTTCCCTTTCAAGGTGCAGCTGCCTGCAAACATCCCGGGCACTTTTCACCTCAATGATTTTCCGGGCACTCGGAGGACACATGGGGAGCGTTTCAATTGCACGTGCGAGTACAAAATGAAGGGTATTGCAGTTGTGCAGGGCATGTTGAAGTCAAACATCAAGCACCAGCAGATGCTGCAAATAGTTGAGCGGCCACCTCCAATTGTTGGTGTCGCGATAGAGGACAATGTGCAAGTGAATATCTGCTGTTGCCTAAACAGGGGCGATTTCTTCATCTCCATGCGTGCAGAGAAAAATGCTTTTTGCGGTAGCACGGGTGAGGCGGTTCGAATGGTGGTGGAGATGGAGAATCGTACCGAGTACGATGTTGACACCATCCACATGGAGCTCATCCAGAGGGTCAGGATGAAGGCGCAACACGTGCAGGAGTCATTTGAGAGCGGCGAGTACAACCACAAGAACATGCGCCACGGATGGAATCAATACGGGAACCACAACAAGACATTATTTAAGGAGACGATCGCAAAACAGGAAACGTTCCCAGGAATTGGCCAGGGAGAAGTGCAGCGTGGAGACAGGGCACGGCTCATCGAGATGCAGCTTGTCCACGCGTTGGAGCCGCAGTGCCTTGGCTACATGATCGAATGCGCTTACTTTTTGCGCGTCTACGCTTACATCCAGTGTGCTACCAACCCAGATGTGAAAGTGCCAGTCTGCATCTATGCCCCGCAGCCACCGCCACAGGCCTGGCAGGCCCCACAACCACCACCTGGGTGGAACCCGCAGATTTTGTCCCCAACGAGCGTTACTGTTCCTAGTGTCGCCGCCCCTCCTTCGCAGGCAGATTTCTACAGGGGCTTCTACGCTTCGGCGCCACCAATGGAAACTCCGATCGTGGGACAGCCTGTAGCCGTGGAGATGTCACCAGGACAGGCGTCTCAGGCTCTGAGGTCCTCCTGATCTGTTTTCAGTAAGATCACATAGTTATCATTACCTATTTCTGTTTGAGACACGCAGGGGAGGACAGAAGGAGCGATTGAATGGGCAGACGGTGGTGAGAGGTCCTTCTTTTTACACGAGTTCATTTTGGACAGGCTTGCTTGTACGGCGTACTAAATTTGCCTGCCGTCCATCGCATGATCCAGCCACGTTTCTCGTCCTTTTTGTTTTCCCCCCTGCAAGGGAAGCCCGGTCCACCGGCTGCGAGCAGTTAAGTTGCCGACGTGTTATTCCCATAGTGATTTAGTTGTTCATAGCAGCAACTCTCGTTGTCTCCCATTTTGCCCGCCATTTCCAGCGGTGGTGCGACAGAAAACGATGTGCCGGCTGACGTGTGTGACTAGTGTCTAGTGTTTATGCTCGTTTCACATCGACTCGTGAAAAAGAACGTCGCGACGTACCCGACCCATCTGCATCAAGTGATACGAAGAGTTGGCCCAAATGTGCACGGACAATGACAGTGCAAACTACATGGGATTCGCGCACGTTGCACGACTCTCAGGACAGCGATAAAAGGACGAGAAGTGAGGCCTTCGGATCGAAGAGGAACGGCGGCGGGAGCGACTCGAAGAAGGTCGGGGGCGGGAACGAGTGGCAGGAGAAGGACGGAAGCGGGGTCAAACAAACAGTGCGGCAGCAGAAGGGAGACGGACGAAAGACGCGGGATGAGAAAGGAGAGTGGCGATGTTGTTTCCAGTGGCACGATGGACAAGTAGTGTTGCCCGCGCTCTGGCGCTCCAACAGATCAGCTGTTCATCGCGGGCAAGGCCAAGCTTGCCCGCAAGTTTCCCCACCTCCTCCCTGCACCTTTCAGCCCCCAGCGACAGTTTCGCAGTTCGCAGCCCCCCAGGGATAGCGAGGTCGAGTCTGAGTCTGCATAGCGCATTACTCCACTGGACCCTCCAGCAGCCCTCGAAAGTGATGACATTGCACACTTCGCAGCCCCCCTGGAAAAGCGAGGTCGAATGTGAGTCTGCGTAGCGCGCCACTCCGCTGGGCCCTGCAGCAGCCTTCGAAATAGCGGTGGTTTCGCAGACCGCAGCTCCTCAGGAATTGCGAGGTCTAGTCCTAGTCTGCGTAGCGCGCCACTCCGCTGGACCTTCCAGCAGCCCTCGAAAGTAGCGACAGACTCGCAGTTCGCAGCCCCCCAGGGATGGCGAGGGCGAATCAGAGTTTTCGTAGCGAGTCACTCCATTGAACCCTCCAGCAGCTTCCCGAAGTGGCGAAAGATTCACAGTTCGAAGGCCCCCCCAGAACGGCGAGGTTTAATCCGAGCTTGCGTAACGCGTCATTCCGCTGGACCCTTGTCAGCAGCCCTCGAAAGTGCCGACATGTCACAGATCGCAGCCCCCGAGGGATGGCGAGGGCTAATCTGAGCTGCGTAGAGCGCCATTCCGCTGGACCCTCCAGCCATCTTCGAAAGTGGCTACAGATTCATAGTATGCAGCCCCGCAGGATCGGCGAGGTCTACTCCGAGTCTGCGTAGCGCGTCATTCCGCTGGATCATCCAGCAACCCTCGAAAGCGGCTACATCTCACACGTCCCAGCCCCCAGGGATGCCGAGGTCCAACTTGGGTCTGCGTAGCGCGTCATTCCGCTGGAACCGCCATCAGTCTTCGAACGTGGCGACAAGCTCGCAGTTCGCAGTCCCCCCCCCCCAAGGGACAGCGAGGTCGAACCTGACTCTGCGTAGCACATCATTCCGCTGGACCCTGCAGCAGCCCCACGAAATGGCGACATACTCGAAGCTCGCAGCCCCCCGGGGATGGCGAGGTCTAATTTGGATTTGCGTAGCGCGTCGGTCCGCTGGACCCTTCAGCAGCCCTCGAAAGTGGCGACGGACTCGCAGTTCGCAGCCCCCGAGGTAAGACGGTGAGGTAAGAGGCAGGTTGGCAGGGAGGCACAAGCCAGGTAAAAGGCAGGAGAGAAGAGGAGGAGGGAAGAGAGGAGGAGGGAGGCGGAAGGACGGCGAGGTAAGAGATAGGCTGGCCGACAGGTGCAAGCCAGGTAGAACGCAGGAAGAAGGCACAATAGATGAGAGAAGGAAAGGGAGGAGAAGGAAGGCGGCAAGGAAAGAAGGAGTGCACATCACAGCGTTCTATTCAAACCGAGAAACCAATGCAGGAGGGATTGGTGCAGGAAATGCTAGCGAGTGTAGACCCCCAAAGGCATCTGTTTAGCAATATGCGTGATGCAATCAACGTGGTGCAAACTATGCTGCGCAATCCATGTGGTGCAGTCGACGCTGTCCATTATAGCGTGTGCGAGCTATGTGGTGCAGCCTTGGTGGCGTCATAGATGTGGCGCAACCGATGGTGTACTATCTATGTGGTCCCATGTATGTGGTGCAGCCTATGTGGTGCAGTTCACTTTGACCGTCTTGAAGCTGTCCTCTCCACTGCTCGTGCAAACATCCCACCCTCCCACCCGCAACTTGGTCGCAAGACCTCTTAAGGCAAGACCGTGACGGTAGGTACCAGATGGCACTTGGCCACGACGCCGACGACGACAGCGACAACGACGACGACGGCGCCGCCGACACCGACGACGACGACACCGACGACGTCTCCAACGAGTTTGACGACGACAGCGACCACGATGACGACGACACCGACGACGACGACGCCGACGACGACGACGATGACAACGACGACGACGACGCCGACGACGACGCCGACGACGACAACGACGAAGACAACGACGACGACAACGACGTCGCCAGCGAAGACGACGAGGGAGGAGGGAGGACGACGACGGCGACAACGACGACAACGACCACAACGACGAGGGAGGAGGGAGGACGGCGACGACGCGAACGACGAAGAAGGAGGAAGGACGGCGACGCCGACGACGACAACGACGAGGGAGGAAGGAAGACGACGACGACGACAACGACGACGATGGCGATGAAATCGGAGGGACGACGACGAGACGCCGACGACGGACGACGACGACGACGAGGGAGGAGGAGGAAGGACGACCTCGGCGACAACGACGACGGAAATGACCACGACGCCAACGAGGACGACGACGAACACGAGGAAAAACAGAGGACGACGTAGGCGACGACGACGACGACGACGACGCGGGAGGAGGGAGGACGGCGACGACGACGACGACGACGACGACGACGACGACGCAAGAGCGCGCGCGCACGCTTTTGTTGAAAATCCGTGTTGCGAAACCTGGGATGTTTGTTGTTTTTTGGACACACGATTTTGGTATCCTTCCGAAAGCGATGGGTTTGAAGGATTTTGGCGTACTCGCGCGACGACGCGCGCGTCTGCACTTCGTCTCATTCTTTGCAGAGAATTCTCGCGACGGCACACGCGCAAGGGCGTTCGACAGATTTCGACACGCGCGCGCGAAGCCCGTTTAATAGCATGTCGTGCAAATATTGAAAAACCTATGGTTTTCTTAAGATTTCGTAAGAGCTCGCACGGAAGCTTGTTTAGCAAATCAGTGTTGCGAAACCATGTGTGTTTGTATGCTTGTTTGAAACTCGATTGCGAAATCCTTCCGGCACTGAAGTTGTTTGAAGGATTTCGGCATGCGCGCGCGACGACGCGCGCGTGTGCACTTCGTCTCATTTGTTGCAAGGGATTCGCGAACAAGTGTTATGTTAGATCAAAAAATGTCACCGCATAGGGGGGGGGGATACCGGCTCGCCTGGGACCTTGCGATTTCATATTTACGATGGACATGAGGTCCGAACCACTTATGATTTACACACCCGAAAGGGGTACCGATAACGCCGGGGGGGGGGTAGAGTCGATTTTCTTTTTAGAAAGGAGAATCAAGTTCTGTTCGCAGTGAGTTGTCCACTCCAATGCTCGCGCAACTTGGTTTGTAAACCTCATGCGGCGGCGATTGCGTGGCGCTGGCTAGTGCATCTCTGCGGTCGCGCCAGCCCGCGCATGCATGCGCGCGCGCAGCGGCCAGGTAGTTTGGCGCGATCGACGAGGCCGCGGTGGTGCTGACCGCTCGGCACATGCGCTAGTCAGCGGCTTGGGCGGGCGCGGTATCATGGCAACGTCGACACTTGCGGAAACGACGACGATGATAGTGGCGATACTGGTGACGACAACTGTAGACACGATGATGATGACGGTGGCGATGACGGTGCCGATGCCGATCACGCCGACGACGATGACGGCGTCTTCGCGTCGGTGGTGAAGGTTGTGGAAGAAATTCGGAATGCGCGCGCGGCAAACGCGCGAGAGTGGCTCGCATGGTTTTATTTGGCACGGACCGTGCCACCGCTGCGCGCGCGCAAGGACATTCGAAAGATGCCGACATGCGCGCGCGGAACCCGTTTGGTTGCATGCTATGACAATGTTGAAAACCTCATGGTTTTTTCAAGAATTCGCAAGAACGCGCGCACGCTTTCGTTGAACATCCGTGTTGCGAAACCTTATGTGTTTGTATGTGTGTTTGTCCTTCGATGTTCAAAAACTTCCGAAGCCGAAGGTTATTGACAAGATGTCGGCATGCGCGCGCGACGACTACTCACAAACCGCAGCTTCATATGCCCGCAGCCGCAGGCATGGCAGCCGCAGCTTCATAAACCCGAGGCCCCGTGTGTTTGGGCGACCGTCCGAATCATCGTCATAAAAGAAAAAGGAAGCGATGCCTCCAGCAACGGGCGGGCGTCCACACGATCTTCCAAACCCCCCGACCACAAAACCAATGGCCTTGCAAAGCTTCCTGTGAGCCTAGCACACGCGTGTTTCAAGGTTGGGATTCGTACCTCGACTGACTAGGTTCACTGCCCCAGAATCTGCAAAAAGACAAATGCAAACAGTTATCCTGGTCAAGTTCAACCATCCACATGTGTGCTAACCGCAGGTGTGTGACCCGGCGCCGGTGGCGCTCCCTTGGGGCCACGAAACGTGTGAGAAGCGTGCCGACATGGGCGTGGTGGCGCCATGCGAACCCTGCCACTGGGGCCTTCGGTGGAGTTCCCTATGGGGTCATGAAGCGCGTGAGGGACGTGGCGGTGGCGCCATGCGAACAATCCCGCTGGGGCCTCGGTGGAGGTTCCTATTGGGCCACGAAGCGTGTGAGGGGTGTGCCGACATGGGTGCGGTAGCGCAACGCGAAGCTCGGTGTTGGGGTTTTCGGTGGACCTCCCTTTGGGGCCACGAATCGCGTGAGGGGTGTGCCGACATGGGCGCGGTGGCGCTATGCGAACCTTGCCAGTTGGGTCGTTGATGCAGTTCCGTATGGGGCCACGAAGCGTGTGACGGGTGTGCCGGCATGGGTGCGTTGGCACCATGCGAACCCTACCATTGGGGCCTTCGGTGGAGGTCCCTATGGGGCCACGAGACGCGTGAGGGGTGTGCCATAAAGAATGCGGTGGCGCCATGCGAGCCCTGCCACTGGGGCCTTCGGTGGGGCTCCCTATCGGGCAA